TGTAACTTGAACAACTATTTCTAAGTTGATAGTATGTAATGTGTTAACTAGTGATTTCCTACTATTTATTGTTTTTGAATTTCTGTATAACTTCTACCCCTTTTTTGTTTTTTTCCTTAAATAGAATTTAAAAAATAAATAAATGCATGTAAGAAATTACATAGTATAGTAATTTTGAAATATCTTATTCTTTGTTTGCATTTTTTCATTCTGGAATTTCCACCACTTTGTTTCAAAAGATAAATAGTACAAAAATTATAACATTATCATGTCAATGTAGAAGGTACAAATTAGTAAAATTGTTGGAATTATGTGACCAAAGAGTTACAAACCATCAGTGCTTCAGTAAAATAATCACATATATTTCCACACTAAAACATAAGCATTTTATACATATACATACATTAGGATCTTGGCACAACACTAATCCCCGGAATCAGTACAAAAGCGAATGACCAAGATGAAAGAGTAAGTGCATGATTTTTAGCTGTTCAGTAAGGTCAAAACCTTCTAACAAATTTCATGATACTTTAGAGGTTAGATAAAACACTTCTACAGGCAACCTATATTTATTTGATTTTCAAACAGCAGAAATTCATGCTAAGGCAAATGTGTGAACAGAGCAGGACATTGCAAGTCAATTTAAACACTCTTCAAAGCAGTACTTTTTGTCAACAAAGAGAACTCTTTGATCTCCAAGGACAGCAGGTTGTGGCTCTGGAAAAGAACGAGGAGCAGCCCTGTCCTTTGCTGTCTCTGCTAGTTTACTATCTTGCACAGGCTCTCTTCCAACACAGCCAAAGGTACCTGTGTCCAACCACTTAACCCTTTATAACACAAACTCTGACATTTATCCATAAGTTAATGTACTGAAAACCGCACATATATTACATAGACAAAGTGGAATTACCTTAAAAAAAGAGTAAAGGTAAAAACACACACATAGTCATAATTTACCATTAGCATTAAAATGCATATTGCAGAATGAATTACATTTGTTTTCTTACAAAAGGTGTAAGTGAAAACAATTAACTTTTGAGATAAGCTGATTCTATCCAACAAATGGAGAGAACATTTCAAAAAATACTTCACTTAGTATTCATTATTCAGCTGTTTAGTATGCTTTTCAATATTATAATAATACCTGAAGAGAATTTAGTGAACAATGTGGCCAAATATAGTAATTTCTTAATGAGGAAATAGGCACATGAAGAAAAACTCTTTCTCATGAGGTTAAACAGTGTCTTGCCTGACCTGTACTTAAAACTGTGCAAATTATGCTGTATGTCAACAAAGACATTTAGTGAGGTTCACAGCTTTTATTTTTAACATAGATGAAATAGCAGTGTGTAAATAAGAGTATGTATGTGGTTTCTTCCCTAAAATATTCTAAGGTGTTAAATATTCAGGTTGAGAATAATCTTAGATACTTTTTCAAATATGATGGTGTATGGTTTCAAATTATACTATAATATATTCTAAAAATAATTGTGACACTGATGTGGTTTAGTGTGTACTTTTTAACAATTTCCTTGAAAAAATGAATTTCCATAATTTTATATTAATGCTGGCTCAATTTCAAAGGCAATAGAAAGGTAAGGTGTAAAAAAAAGAAAGTAAAATTTAAAAAGAAATTCACTCTACACTGATTTGATTTCTCTTTAGATGTATACAAACAAAAAGTATAATGAATTAAAAATCTCATTGTTTCCTAGTACACAAATATTTGATCCCTTAATTTTATGTAACTCCAATGGTAAAGGAAGAAGGAAGTGAAAGCTCTTTCTGTACTTTTTCCCTCTAGAGTTAGGAGAGAATAAATACTGCACCAAATGAGTGTAAAAAATGTTTTGACCATTGCTGCAAAATAGAAATGAATGATATCTGCATGTACATTTGCTTAACTCATTCTTGTTGCACTAAATGTACTTACATATACTTGAGACAAATAATACATTACTAAGGGCTCCAAAGGTTAGGGAGTTCAAAGGTAGTGTACAACAATATACATTATCCAGTGAGAGTTTGGCCATTGCTTCTAACACAGATCATTGAACAGAAGTCCTCTAAGGAAAAGAAGCAGTCTGTCCTCACATGAGAAGGTGAATAGTGTCTTTGCCATGTTGCCTTCTTTATAAGAGCACTAGATGTAATTCTTGAGGGGAGCCTCTTTGGATTAAAATTCTCTTAAAGACCTCATCTCTTTAGAGAAAACTGGCAATCCCTACATTTTGGTAGGCAAACACTGAACTCCTACCAAATGCTATTAATTTCCATGTTCATATGCACATGTGTGTATATACACATATACATACCAATATGTATATATGTCACATTTTCTAAGATGACAGAAAAAATCTTTCATGAATGGTACTAATTTGCTCTGAACATTAACGAATATTACCTCTGGTTTTTCATTATATGAAAGACACATACGTAGCTTAATTATGTTCCCCGACATGGGAAAAGGATACAGCATACATGAAAGTCAGGCATATGTAACTCAAACTAGCCTTAACCAAAGTAAATCTATACTGAGACATATAACAAACAAGATCCAAGAAATTGAGCACATTAACTGGACATTAAATGCTTTGAGAAAAAAGAAACAAATCACATGTAAAGAGATGAACTGCTCTAATCAGGATTGTAGATGACCTGAAGTCAACAATACAAGGAAAAACAGGGAGGGTGGAATAAGAAACAAGGTTCATCAATATGTTATATACAAGAAATACATTTAACTTAAAAGGAAATTCATAGACTGAAAATCAGAGGAGAGGAAACAATTGTTTCATGCAACAGGAGATCATAGAAAAGCAAGATTACCTTGCCAGTCAACTTCAAAGTGGTAAGAAAGTTATGATGTTTTCATATGGTAGAAAGCTACTCTTGTAGGTAAATGGATGCAACTGGATGTCATGTTCATGAGTGAACTAGTTTGAACTAATAAGGGTGAACATTAGCATAAAAAACAGTTAGTGGAATCCGAAAACAAAATAGTGGGAAAGTGATACAGTAGGAAACACCTCAGAAGAGAAAGTCTTAACCTGTGCTAATTTCTGATTTTCTTGATTTAAACTCTTATACTTTTTCAAAGTTTTGTTTGGTTTGACAATCTTCTGCCTTGCTTTGCTAGAGTTTGTCTCTTGATATAGGCAGCTACTTTCAACATAATGGGATGTATGTTGTTGATCATGGTCAGTTTCTTGCAAACTTGTTTTGAAATTCTATAGTGCTTTCATGCTATAGTTTATGGGTATAATTCTGTACTTTGTTTTTGATTTTATTATGTGTGATGGTATGCAAAGCTATTTTGAAAAAAAACTGGATATTATAGTTAATGATATCTGATTTTGTAATCTTTTAATGTTTTCTTTCTTTTTTTGTTTTTTTTGCTTGGCTTTACTCTGGCTTCTACGATTTGATTTAATTATTTATGAGGGTATGGACAGTCTATTTTGAAGTGAACAAGAGACATTATGGGAGTAACTGTTTATTTCCTACTGTATATTTTTGAAGTTCCATGATGCCTTCATTCTTTTATTTTGATTGGTTTTGTACTATTTGCCTTTGTTTGATTGTATTGTTTGAGAATTTATGTTGTTACACTAAAACAAACAAGGCACATTATAGTAGCCACTTGATTTTTTTATGGTTTTGCTGTGAAGATCTGTGCTGCTTGCATTGTTCTGCTCTGATTTGCTTTCTTCTGATTTGTTTTATTATCTTTAAAAGAAAAAAAAAACAAAGCATAAGGGGAAAACGATTAAAATCTTGGGGGTAAAAAGAAACATGTTGCTCTCAAGTGCAAATATTCTACTGTACACGTAGTTATTGCATTGACAATTGTATATATTAACTAAAAATATAACAAGATTGTTTATATTTCAACATTTCTATTAGTTTAAATGATTGAAAATTTACACAAGCAGTTGGGAATGAATCTATGGAATATCTTCTGTCTGGAGCATGTGTTGAAGAATGCAATAATAATTGAATAACAAACTTGTTCCCATTAAGAGCAAAATTGTATATAGTGGTGAAGCTATGTATTAGATAATTAACAAAAGATTTGAAATGAGAATGTTTAATTGAACCAATAAATGCTAATTTGAAATCATATTTTGAGGGATTCATGTGTATTAAAAACACAAAAGAAGTCTATTTTTCTTATTAATATTATGATTATTAGTGCATAGATAATATTTTGGTTCGTATCTAAATGTCCACTAAATTCTCTTGTAATTATTTTTGGGAATCTGGAGTGGATGGATATGGTTATAACCAAAAATTAAGAGTATATGACTCCTAAATTATTGAGCTGTTTGCTTTAACATAATTCTGGGTTATGATAAAAGAAAAGACCACCAAAAAATTCGTGACACCATCCAATATTATTGTGTCATAGTCCCTGTACTCTGAATGTCCGTTCAATATATGAACTTTCACCAGTACGAGTTATCCTTTAACCCCTGCTTGAATGTAGACATTTGTGATAACAAAAGGCAGCACAATTTGTAAATAAATATATCATTTTAACAAGATGTCCATGAAATGGATCTCAGCTCTGTTGATACCACAATTTTTGTGTTCTTTTAACATTGGGAGTTGTGGTAATGTTTTGGTATGGCCCATGGAATACAGCCACTGGATGAATATGAAGATCATAGTAGAGGAATTGATCCAGAGGAGACATGAGGTTACAGTTCTGATACCTTCAAGCTTCATTTTTGTTGGTGTCAATGCATCATCTGGAGTTAAATTTGAAACATTTCCTACATCTCTCAGGAGAGATCAACTGGAAGAATTTTATACTCGAATGATTTCTAACTGGATGGATATTGGCTCAATAACTACCTGTTTGTCATATTTTCCTGTGATGGAGGAGATGTTAAAGGAATATTCTGCTAATTGGGAGATTGTTTGTAAAGATGTAGTTTCAAATAAAAATCTTGTGACAAAACTACAGGAATCAAACTTTGATGTCCTCCTTGCAGATCCTGTTGCTCCGTGTGGTGAGCTGGTGGCTGAGCTACTGAAGTTACCTTTTGTGTACAGTCTTCGCTTCTCCCCTGGCTTCCAACTGGAAAAAAGTGCTGGAGGGCTTCCATTTCCTCCTTCTTACATACCTGTCCTGATGTCACGCTTAAGTGGTGAAATGACTTTTATGGAAAGGGTCAAGAACATGATATGCATGCTTTATTTTGACTTTTGGATTGAAGTATTTAATCAGAAAAACTGGAACAAGCTTTACAGTGAAACGTTGGGTGAGTCATGTTTTGAATACGAAGAGGGAGGTGCTTAATATCCTATGCTTTGGAAGTCAGCTTGAATAAATGTACAATAAGTGGAATTCACTTTCTGTAGGAAAATGGTGAACTGAAAATTAAAATTATCTCTCTATCACTTACAAATTTTGAAAACATTCACATTATGGGATCATAGTCCAGCCAGTGGCTCATTACTGATAGAACATTCTCAGAGCTCACACACTGCCAAAGGCAAGATTTCATGCTTTCATGCTCTCAGTTGATACCAACTTTAATGTCTTTTGAAGGAAAAGTAAAAGCAATTTGGCATCTCTGTAATGTGTTTTTGAATGAACAAAAGCAGACTGAAGTTACACGTTTGTAGCAAAAATACCTAGTAACACAGAGGAACTTTTCTCATGAGTAAATCAGTTTCTTTGTCTAAAATTGTCATTTTCTATACCTTCTAAAACATTCTGTCCCCTCTGGGAAATATTTTCTATTCAAGGTTTGAAAAGTATAAATTGGACATTTTAGTGATTCCACAAACTATAATAGTTCCTTATCAACCATCCATTTCAGAAGTTATAAATTTGTAGAAACATTCATATACAAGTACTGTATTTAAGCATGTTGTTTTACAGAAAAAAGAATGATGTATCATGTATAATTAATAATATGTGTCTCCCTAATTTCTGCAAGCTTTCCTAGAGATGTATGAAAAGTGTGTAAATTACAAATAAAAACTATTACATATCTGGTGTAAACAAAAAGCAAAGAAATGAACAATTATCACAGCCATAACATTAAAGCATTCAGGGTTTCTGTTGTATCATTTTACAAATCAAAAAATACATAATTTCCTTAAAATTTTTTCATGGTTGGGGTAGGTATACTTGAAATTCTAGCTAGAATATTGGTTGATATTTGTGCCTACTATGTTGGCGTCTTTAGAGAAGGAAGAATGCATGGTTTCTTATACAGTATTGTACTAAAGCTTCTGATACAGAATGCACTGAGGAAATATTACAGAAATATTTTCTTTTCATTCTGGGTTTCTCACAGACACAACTGAGCCATACCTAAAAAAATTTGTTATTCATGTAAAACTGTACTTTGTTTTATGTTTTCTACTTTTTTCTTCTTTACAAACCAGGAAAACCAACTACATTTTATGAACAAATGCAGAAAGCAGATATGTGGCTTATTCGAAGCTACTGGGACTTGGAATTTCCTCGCCCTACCTTACCAAATTTTGAGTTTGTAGGAGGACTCCACTGCAAACCTGCCAAACCACTACCTAAGGTAAGAATAACCCTGTCTTAGTTTTTATTTTAATTTTCAGTGAGAATGCTCTGCATTATTCTTGCGAGTCTCAGCTCACAATGAGAAAGATTTGAGAATTTGCAAAACTTACTTGCTGAATAGGAACCTAAACAGCAGGCAAGCATGGTATGAAATACCTGTAACCCTAGAATTCTATAACCTGAGACAGGAGAATCACCTGTACAAGCATGTCTGGGCTACATTGCACATTTAGGATTACATAGAAAGACTTTGTTCAGAAAATTGAATTTTGATTTCATCACAGCTATCTGATCTTCATTACCATTACAAAAAATATGGAAAGCCTAAGAAGTATTCAGAAAAAACTCTATTAAATTATGGTCTTCATTTTTCATTTTGTCAGCATTGTTTATTCAAAATGTATCCTTTGAATACTGTTCACCATCATTACAATATAATAAGCCTAGACACAACACAGACACTAGTCCCCTCCCACAATCTTGTATACTATATTAAAAACTAGCATATAAAATTAATAAGAAGTACATGAAGAATAATTTATGAAAAGACTAATACTAAGAAAACTTTCAGTTGTGCTTATAATCTTTGCCATGATAATTGGTAATAATCCAAAGTTAATAAGGTGCAGAAATAAGCCAATTTATGAGAAGTCCAAAAAGATATAAAATAGAATGTCTAATAAAGTAGAAAGGATGGTATCTCAAGAACAGCAAGCTTATTGCATCAGGATAATAAATTTGCTAGGTAATTAATGTACAACCAAATAAGAGAGTAAAAATTATCTAATGAAAGCATTGGTGACATAGGAAAACATTGAGCTAGGGAGAGATAATCAGATTTTCTTTTTAAAAAATCTATGAAGATGTAGTAAATGGATTAGATTGCAGAGATTCAGAACACTAGAAATAGGAAGCACTCAGAGGGTTGGTGTAAGAGTTCAGGAAATTCATGAGTGAAATACAGACATAGGTAATCATCCAAAAGAAAGAGCTGCTACTATAGTAAAACTGTGACTTGATATTTAATTTTTCTTTTAATTTTTTTATATATTGAAGGTAGTACAACAGACAAGATAGAACAAAGTCAATCAAGACAGTGCAGTGAAATTGGTACAAAATGTCACAACAGTTTACCAGGATAACAGTAATGGTATATCTCATTGTCTTAAAAATAATTGCTCTTTCAATCAGGTATAGAAAAATCAAATAAAATACAGAGCATTATAGAAATTATAACAACAGAATATTGAATAGAGCAATATAATTAATTAGCACAAAGCAAAACGGTGAGAATATTTGTCTTGAATGAGATGGTGGAAGGAATTCCCTGCTATTTGGTATATCGCATATAGTCAACCTCCCAAGAGGCACACAGACCTCTGGCTCCCATTTGCTAAAGGGGTATGGGGTGTGGCGAAGGATGTTTGATTCTCAGCCCGTGCACAAGTAGGCTCATGGCTGCTTATCAGAGAGGCAAGTGGGTTGCTAGGTTTCCTAGCACCCTAAGTTTCAGCATGGCATGGATCTCAGGAGATGTTGGCAGATTTTTCCCTGCGGAGGCCACTGCTTGCCTGAGCCACAGCTGCTTACCAGGGAGGCAAGTAGGTTTCTTTGTGTCCCAGGACCCTAAGTTCCAACATGGCCCATATTTAGTTCTTTGGGAAGAAAATTTAAATCATTTGCAAGAAAATCTCAGTGGCAATAATTCAATGGTACACATTAATGGAGGATGGGCAAAAAATGGATGCTATTGGTATCTTGTATTTTGACACTAAATTGATTAAGAAGTTCGGAATTTATTTATTTTCATACCGGGGATCAAACTCATTAATTTGCAATTGGTGGACAGGCTGTGCTGCTGATCTATGTCCTCAGCCCCTAAGAACTATTTTACATTTAATTTCACTAAATGGAATCTGACATTCCAACAGTTTAAGATAATAATCTCAAATAAACACACAATAAAAAGCAATTGTATGTACTTGTATAAAAGTAAATGGCTAGGTTCAGACAATTATATGAACAAGGTAAAATGAGGATGTATTATATAAACCTGTGAAGCTCTTTGTTAACATTTTACATTGCAAAAATACAAAAACAAAAAAGAACATTCCATTGAACCAAGGTGTGTTTGTGTACCCACAGCAATATTTGCTGTGAAACGGCATGCCGTTCACCTTGGCTTGAACACAGATTCAAAGACATTTTTCCTTCCAATAATACAATTTTATAGCTCAGAGCTCTCAAGGACTGAAGCACTTTGTTGAAACATATATTTAATGTCATTTGCCAAGGCAGCAGGATACCTGAGTAAAGTTTCCTCGTCTGATATAATCATGGCATGAGCATGACCTGACAGAGAAACACAGAGAAAATTTAACAGAGTGTAAATTAAGCAATTGATAGCACCAATGATTTCTCTGAAAGTCACATTGATGTGATCATACACTGTGGTGTTGCACAAGTAATATTCCTATGAAAGGACCCAAAAATATAACATATTTTAAATTGATAATATAATTCTAAGCTATATATAGAAATGAAGCTATTATTATTGTTTCAGGATTATGACACTTCAAGAAATTCTTTTTTTTAACCTAAAGGTTTTTCAGAAATAGATAATGGAAATTTAAAAAAAAAATGGAAAAAACCAATATTTTTTAAATGCAGTTCATTTAGAAAATACAAGTAATCCAGAAGTCAAACATTTGAAGCATTATCAATGTATATATGTATATGCTAAACAGAATATATATAAATATATACCAGAGAATATTTTCTGAATGAAAATATAACACTGTTAGGAGCAGCAGAACAAATAAAAAGCAGAGAAAAAAAAAGAACATGGAAAAACATCACTATGAATAGTACTAAAACTAGCTGCGGTTACATGTACAAAATTGAAATTTACAATCTCGCATCGTCTTAACATTTATATCCTTTGACCTAATGAGATACTCCTTTGAAAGTATGTAAAGAAAAATAATCCAGAAACACAAACCTAAAGAAACCTTTAGATTAAATAACATTTCTATGTGTATATCACTGCTCTTATTGTTGTAACATCAAAGTATTCTTCAGTAACTATAAATCAGCTATAATAAGAATGTGAAATGAAATCTTGGTGTAAATATTTTAAATTAACTTTGCTTTTAAGGGATTAAATAGAAACATAGGGGTGATGGTTTGGCTCATTGCACAACTGCCTGCCTGTCAAACACTGGGTCAGGAGTTTGATCGTGATTACCAAAAATCAATAAACAAACAAATAAACAGAAACATAAATGAAAAAATATTTTTAAAATGTTGTAAAAGAACAATTACATATACATCTGTAGTTCAAGAAATGACTCTTAGAAACATTGATTCCACAACCATATTGTTAACATTACTCCTTGTATCTTCCCCTGAATTTTTAAGGATGGTGAACTTTTTCTTACAAAAATTTTACCAGATGCTAATTGCCATTCCTTCTTGCCTGTATCAATTTCATCTATTTAAATACACTTTTTTTCAATAGTGTTTGCTGTGCTTTTGATTTTTTTATAATGGAGTCAATTTATTCTTCCCAGGAAATGGAAAACTTCGTGCAGAGCTCTGGAGACCATGGCATCGTGGTGTTTTCCCTGGGGTCCATGGTCAGTGACATGTCAGAAGCAACAGCCAATGCCATCGCTTCAGCCCTTGGACAGATTCCACAAAAGGTTGGCAAAGAGTCTCGATGGCAGCATTCACTAGAGAAATCATGAAGCTCTGCAAAGATTTTATTTCAGATACTTACTCTTTTTTCCTATAGGATTGTTGAGGTCACTGTAATATGCAAGCAATGTTATGGAAAGTGTTAACTTTACTGAAAATTCTGCTATCTGAGTAACATGAAACAGGTATCAAAAAAAGACTTGAAGTAAATTATTTAATTTAGGATTTTTGTGTTATGTCCTCCTTTTAGTTCATACAAATTTTGGAATACACTTCTGTATTGTAATTTTAAGGGGGTATTAGAGCAGAGAAAAGCAAGAGTGGCCTATTCAGGATTCATATATGCATTCAGTCATGTTAATCCTAAAATAAGAAATCCTAGTCTGAGAGATTCCTGACTACACCTAAAGCAGGAAGAAGTTAATAATAGTTTGGGGATGACCTCTGCCCTTACAGTGGTACTTATGTATTACAAAATATTTTCTGCAAGGACGCTGAATTTTTCCCACTCGGTTAATGTCTTTCTAATCATGAAACCAAAAAGGAGGAGAACAATAAACTGAAAGATACCTTTCTAGGGAGGTTGCACAGTTAACCTCAGCATATAATGGAGAAAATGTTTCTCACATCTTATACATGTGCAATCAGTAGCTATGAAATAGAGTAGGTTTTAGTTGCATAAGCTTTATATTCTCCTATGCCAATTTTTGTCCCAGAATGTGAAGTTGCGTTTGACATTCCCCCAGTAACGGGATCTCTAATTCCTGCAAATGTTTCTCCAGTTAAGGAGAATATCACGGAATTACTAAAACCATTACCTCATTGGAGGACATTGTAATGAAATGCTTAAGCTATAACAGTAGATTAAGTTCAGCTGTGAAAATTTTCTATGGTGTCATGGGAAATGAAAGACTTTTAAAAAATAATTATTCATATGTTCTTTTTTGAAACATTGTATCACTTTTGAATTGCAAACCAACTCTTTGTGTTTAACATAGATTCCAGTCCTAAAAGTAGTGATGATATTATGAATTGTTTTCACAAATGCCCAGTAAATATATTCTATAATAAGGAATTAAAACTTAATAAAATCCTGTTATACGTCCTTCTGCATAAAATCAATTAATATCCAATAGAATTTGATTATATGAATTAGATATTTACAGATCAAAGTGCTTTTTTGCATGTTGATTGAGACACAGGTATCTACTTGGAATCTATAATGGTATTATAAAATCAGTCAATGATAACATTAGAAGGTATCATAAACATATACTAATGTAAATACAAATGTAATAAATTCTCTAATCCTTCTTAAATATTAATGTAGGGAGACAATTTTCAAATAATTCAACTTTTTTATATAAATTGCTTTATACAAAATAATTCAATTTTTATCTAAATTGCTATATACAAGATATTATGAGTATATTCAAACCATTAAAATGTAAAATGACTGTGGAAATTGTTTGTGTTCTGTTTGTATCAGTTTTTTTTTTTTGCAGTTGTTAATATGTAGTCTCCCTCTGTTGATTTAAAAAAATTACCCCTTAGAAGGCACTCAAATTGTTTTCTAGGCTTTAAAACTCACAATATGGTATAATGCAAACTATATCCTAACAGGTGATTTGGAGATTTGATGGCAAGAAACCAGATACCCTAGGAGCTAACACTCAGTTATTGAAGTGGATCCCCCAGAATGACCTACTTGGTAAGATGCTGGAGAACAAGTACTGAAAGCATAAGGCTATAAGCCAAATGATTGCTAAAAAAGAAACAAACCAGGGAACACTTTTAATTACAAAGTCAAAACTAAACCAAACTTTATACTGCACCTTTGCAATGGAAGAGGAAGTAAAATAATTTGTAACAATTGGATTTTTGGAACAATTGTTTAGCAACAATTTTAAGATCCTCATTTCAAATATACTTGTCTCTAGAACAGGGATGTTTTAATAAATTATTTTTCTATTCTTTTAGTTCAATCATTGATTAAGAAATACCAACTCCTTTCTTTCTATAGAAACACGTGTTTATAAAAACAAATCAAAAAAATCTTGATTTATTTACATTAAAGTTGTATTTCTATTTATTGATGTGACACTTTAAGGCAAAAATTTCATTTTGTAATCATGATTTAATATCACACTCTTTATTCCCACTGCTGTATGCTGCTGACATGCAGTAACTCTATGTCAGATCTGTGACTGAACTACAGTTGAATATGTTGTAATGCACACACGACTCTTCATGATGATCATTTATTCATTGGTAAAGACATCTACTGTATCTTCCATGTAACATTCACTTACCTTTCCAGTGGATTTGCTGATTTTTATTCTGAGACATAAAAGGGACATCATTGCTCTTTCATAGATGTACATTATTTATATATAAAATGGAACCCTTTTAGTGACTCATAATGTGTATTTCACATTGTATTTCTAACCTTTATGATTAATTATGTTACTGACATTCACCCCACCTTAGGTCATTCAAAAACTAGAGCTTTTATAACTCATGGTGGAGCCAATGGTGTTTATGAGGCAATCTACCATGGAATCCCTATGGTGGGCATTCCTCTGTTTGCGGAGCAACATGATAACATTGTTTACATGGAGGCTAAAGGAGCAGCTATTAAACTGGATTTCCACACAATTTCAACAACAGATTTGTTAAATGCACTGAAGAAAGTCATTAACAACCCTTCGTGAGTACAAACTTTTGAAAAATTCCTTATCATTCTATTCGATAACTTCTTACATAACTTCCAAGAAAGTAGCAATAAGTGTGAATTAAGGATAATGGAATACAAACTTTCTTAATGCTGAATCCATCATTAGTAACCAAGTGGCAGTGCAAGAAATAATATTTTCAGCACTTTTATTGGATAAAAGCTTTAGGCAAACTTTAGCCAAGGTGTAAACTTTAGAAATAGCCTGTAAAATGAATAAGAAGAATCACTGAATGTGATCACAGAGGAATGACAATGAAATGTGAAGAAATAAAAATTTTAAAAGAATTTATACCTGCCATTTAGCTGGGAATTCATAAGAGATATATGTCATAAAACGATACATAAAGCTGTGCAGCATTCCAGAAAGGCATTCTGTTTTGTAGTTTTAATGACTAACCTGTGGATAAATTTCAATACTGGTTTTTAATTACTCATGTAATGATTACTAAGGTTACTTACAAGTGTTGGATGAACCATGGCAAGGATTTGTACTTGGTCTTTAAATTATACTCCTGATTTTGACCTTTAGAACAATATCAGAAACTCCAAAAATATTCATTCTATTATTTGTGAATTTTTCTGAACTTGTTTAATTTTCTTCAGCTATAAACACAATGCTATGAGGTTATCAAGTATTCAGCGTGATCAACCAATGAGGCCCCTGGACAGAGCAGTCTTCTGGATCGAGTTTGTCATGCGCCACAAGGGGGCCAAGCATCTGAGGCCTCTTGCCCAGAACCTCACCTGGTACCAGTACCACTCTCTGGATGTGATTGGCTTCCTCCTGGCTTGTGCTGCAATCATTACTTTTGTTCCCATAAAGTGTTGTTTGTTTTGTTTTCAAAAGTTTGTCAAGACAGGAAAGAAAAAAAAGAGAGAGTAGAGCTGTTCAGATACATGGCTTTACACATGAGAAAGCTTCATCTAATTCCACTGCCATGGATAGACTCATTAAGAAATGATCCACCATGTTGTGTAATATCTTTGCCTTGGAGATTTAAACATACAATGCAATCTTGTTCAAAGAATCTACAATTCAAATTTCAGTGTTCAATTAACAGTTGTAATTTAATTTTCACATGTATGTCATGATGAACCTTAAAAGAATGAGAATGACTGAACCCACAATATATTGATTTGAGACAAATAGGAAGCCTTATAACTATTGTATCCTCAGGTATATTTTCAGATTCAATAAAATGTAAACCACTGAATATTATTTTTATGTAAATAAATCAGAGGCAGGTAGTAAAAGCAGGGGCATCATCTTGTTAATGATAACAAGATGTATTGAAGATATATATAGCTAAAATAGAGGACAAAAAGTTCAATATAGCCAGAGCTCAACTTAATAATAAATATGAATACTACTGTCTTGTAGCAAAAATCAGAATTTGGTGAAGTATGGAAGCCAAAGTGAACCAGGACACTGTAGGAAAATGGAAAATTTAAGTTGGAAGGAAATAGAAAATTTCACAAAATGGCCTGACATCTGGGGTTAGTGAAGATAGTACATTGTGAATTCTGGGAGAATAACATTTACATGAGGAAAGATATAAGAAGAAGGGCAGGATCAGCTGTAGGGACAAAACAATGACTTAGGAAAAATAGAAGACATGATGAATTTAGCCATTTTCACAGCACATTGGTAATGCAAGTATTTAATTTCATGGGATTTTTATCAGAGCATATCTCTTGAGGAATATCAAATATATACTACAAAATATCAGTTCTTTAACAAATTTTCTTTGTTGTAACTAGCTTCCTTAAACCTTGTATCCCAATGATAGATTTCATTTGAATAAAGTATCTTCTATCTTCGACTGGAATTTTCTCTAGCTATTATTTTCGGTTTACCAAATAATGATATATAGTTGAATAACTAGACAAAACAAGAAAGGAGTTTTGGCTGAGGTTCTAAGAGTATAGTTCATTAACAGTAAAGTACAATATTAGTATAATATTCCCGCCTCCTCCTACCAGATCATTACTTTTTAACCTTATTTTTCTAATTCAATATATCTACCACCTCAGTATACAAAATATTGAGGACATAGAACCAGAAATTTGTATTACATTGGTATGTTTCCTTTCTCAAAACACGTAGAAAAATACCAGAAAATGAAACTTTGAGTCAAAGTATTATGTGCAGCCATTTGTAAAGCCTATGTTTAGAGAGCCATGAATTCTCCATATCTTGTCTTTTCATAACTACAGTAATCATGTGTGAACTGCTCAGTGCAACCCACAGAAAGGGAAGAAATGGAGGACCAGAACTTCTTGGTACAAAGATGTTTCTAAACAGCTGTTTGCCACATAAATATAATTATCATTTTGACATAAGGAAAACACCTATCTATATTAATAAATTTCAAATGATTTTCAACCAAAATTTTAAGGTAGCTATGTAAATAAGTGAAATGATAATTATTCATTTTTTTAAAGACTGTAAAACTAAACCTAATGAAACAGAACAAAGAACAACAGAAGAAACAGTGTATGTGACACAGATTTCTAAACAATAAAACAGGAAATCTACAATGGCTACCATAATGTCTCGATTTCTTCTAAATAGTTATCTATATGTTCACACACAATGAATTCATATAGGATCAAATAGCATAAAACTGATCAAAACAGTGTAATGACAGTGAATTACCTTCAAAGCCTTCAAAAGTAGACAATACACAATCAATAATGGCTGCCATAAACTCTCTCAATCTTTAAAAAATGTCTGTCCATACCTTCATGTATGCAGAAACTAAACAATTCAAAAGAGATTAAAACTATTCTGAACCAAAACTAAAAGCACTAGTGGATTACACTGCATGAGGATACGGAATCAGCAATAGATACCACAATGTGTCTTTTTCTTAAAAGTAGATATTCATTTCTTCATACATAATATAATCGAATCTCATAGAGTATTTAGGAAAATTTCACATGTATAAGGCTCTATGTGTATACCTGTCATTTCTGTAATAGAGGAAAAAATAAAACAAAACAGATTGCTACAAAAACAGGAAAAATGAAAAATAGCAATAGCAGAGGCCAAAACATTGACTTTCAAACAAAGTGGTAGACAGGTAACTGAGGTTGTGATTAAGCACAGTGATCTTCAGAGTTCCTCATATCACCAGACACAAACACGCACAATCGTTCCAATACAATGAATGTCAGCTGTTTTGTTTCATGCACTTATAGAGACTGTAGCACAATCATCTTAACTATCCTAAGTGTCTTTATACAAATTTAGAGGCTTTTTCCTTTCCTTTTTCTTTTTCCTCATTCTCTCAGAGATGTTATTTTTCCCACTTTGAGAAGATTCTTACCATTTCACTGTATTTAATTGAGGATTTTGTATTTTATGTACTGTTATCATTTCCTACATGAGTGAAACAACACAGTATCTACACAAATGAGTTTGATTTATTTCACATATGAGTATGGCCTCAAGCTGCATCCATTTATTTATAAGTATCTCAGTGTGATCATTCTTTATAGCTAAGTAGTACTCCATTACATAAAAATACCACATCCTTTTTATTCATTCCTCAGTTGATGGACATTTAGATTGTTTGCAAGATCTGGCTATTACAAATTGTGTTCCTATAAACAAGGGTGCACATATATCACTGTGGCACAAAGTTTTCAGATATTCTGGGAATATGCCCAGAAGTGGAATATCTGGGTCAAATGAGACTTCTAGTCACAGCTTTTAGAAACCTCCAGACTGACTTCCATAGTGGTTGTCCCAGTCTGTACTCTCAACGACAGTACAGGAGAGTTGCTCTTTCCTTGCAGTCTCTCCAGCATTTGTTGTTTGTAGATTTCTTGATCCTGGCGATTCTTTCTGGAGTGAGATGGAATCTCAGTGTGGTTTTATTTCATTTCTCTAAGGACCAATGAGCTGAACATTTTTCATGTATTTGTTTGACATTTGTATTTCTTCATCTGAGAACTGTGTATTCATCTCAGATGGCCATTTTTGGATTGAATCTTTGAATTTCAGGGGACAGGTTTTTTAAACTCTTTATATGTCTGGGACCAAAGTCCTTTATCTAAAGGACACTTGACTAATATTTTTTTTCCAATTTGTTTGTTTTCTTTTCACTATTTTGGGCATTTATTTAGATATGCCAAAACTGTATAATAAGATATGATCCTAGGTATTGATTCTGGGTATTGTTTCCCATTCAGTCAGAATTTTGTATATGAATTCCCTACTTACCCTATGTTTTCAAGATTTCTACCTAATTTATATTCTAGAAGATTTAGTATTTTGGTTTTAATATTTGTATCTTTGATCCATTTATATTTTTGTTTAGAACATGTTAACAGGCATGGGTTTAGTTTTACTTTTCAGCATATGAATAGCCTGTTTTTATAGCTTCTTTTATTACAGAGACTTTCTTTCTTCCAGTGAACATGTTTGTCCTCTTTATCATAGATGATATGACTGAATGTGTTTGCAGATGTAGTTGTATCTTCTAATCTATTCCATTTATTTTAGGTATATTTTAATTTAAGTTCCATGTCAATTTTATTGCAGTACTTTGTAGTATAACTTCAAGCCCAGGGTAGTAATGCTTCCTGCCTTGAATTTGTTCCTCAGAATTACCTTTGCTATTCTAGGTCTTTTCTGGTTCCAGATGAATTTTAGGAATAATTTCTCTATATTTATGAGGTATGCTAGTGGCATTTTGATTGGGATTTCATTACATCTGTGGAACAATTTTAGGAGAATGGCCATTTTCACAATAGTTGTTCTTTGTTCGTGGAAACAAATAGAACAAAACAAGAACAACAAATATTGTGAAAATGGCCATTCTGCTAAATTTTTTTTCACAGGTTTAATGCAATTCCAATCAAAATGCCACTAGCATACCTTCCATGAACAAGGTATGTCTTTCCATTTTCTGAGATCCTCTGGAATTCCTTTTTCAAAATATTATAATTTTCCCTGAAAAGAAATTCTACTTCATTTCTTAGATTAATTTCTATGTATTTTGTTTTTTAGAAGTTATTTTAAAGGATATGATTTCTCTTATTTCTCTCTCAGGGACTCTGTTGTTTATGTATAACTATGCTATTGATTTTTGTGTGTTGGCATTGTGTCCAGCTACATAAGTGAATTTTGTTATTATTCCTAGGAGTCTTTCAGTGGAGTTTTTGGGAACTGCTATGTGTTGTATCATGTCATGCTGAAATATTAATAATTTAACTTATTTTCCTATTCATTCTCTTTTATTTCACTCTTTTTTCTAATTGCTCTGGCTAGTATTTCCAGCACTATATTGAATAGGAGTGGTGATAAAAAATTTATTTGTTCCTGGTTGTAGACTAAAGGTTTTCAGTTTTTTTCCTTTTAATGTGATAATGGATATTAGTTTGTCATAGATGGCTTCTATCATATCAAGTGAAAGACTGTGAATTCCAATATTATGTAAGTTTCTTAGCATGAATAAGTGTTGGACCTCATCAAAGCTTTTTCTGCTTGTATAGAAATTATCAGGTGATTCTTATTTTTGCTCTATTGATAAAGTGGGTTACATTCATTGATTTGTGTATTTGAACCATCCCTGCATTCCTGGGATGAATCCCACTTGATTGTGGTGTATAATATTCTTGATGATTTGCTGCATTCTGTTTGCCAATATTTTATTGAAAATTTTTGCATCTATGTTCTTTAGGGAGATTGACCTGTATTTCTCTTTTTTTTTCCATTGGGTCTTTCTCTGTCTTTGGTATTAAAGTAATACTTGCTTCCTGTAATGAGTTAGGGAGAATTGCTTCGCTTTCAATTTCATTGAAGAGTTAGAGGATTGTCAGCATTAAAACGTCTTTGAATTTCTTGTAGAATTCCACCGTGAATACATCTAGACCTGGGCTTTTCTTTTTTGGTAAGTTTTTAGTTATATTTTATATATTACAAATTAAAATTGAGTTATTCAGCTGTTTAACATCTTTTTAAATTATATTTTCTATTTTATTAATGAATTGAATTATTCAGCTCTTTTACATTTTCTTGGCTCAGCATTAGTAATTCATGTATTTTTAGGAATCTATCCATTTCTTCTGTGTTATCAAATCTATGATAGTAGAGCTTTTGAAATAAGCTTTGATGATCTTCTGTTTTTCCAGAAGGTCGATACAGATTTCAATCTTTTCATTCCTTGTTGTACAAATTTGAGGTTTCTTTCATTTTTTATACAAGGTTGTGTAGGGGGGCTTATCAAATGTACTTATTCTTTTTTATATTTTTCCTTTTTTTTTTGGTACTTGGGGAATCAAAATCATGACTGTGTGCTTGTCAGGCAGACGCTTACACCACTGTGCTAAACTTCCAGTAATTTTATTTTTTCCTTCAAAGAACAAAACCTTTGATTCATTTATTCTTTGTATTATTTTTTTAGTCTCTATTTCATTTACTTCTGCTCTGATCTTTATCGTTACCTCCCTTGCTTTGGCTTTGTTCTTAACCTGCTCTTCTTTTTCCACATGTTTAATGTGTAGCATCAAGTTTTTCATTTGTGTTCATTGTATTTCCTGATGTGGGAATTCAACACAATAAATTTTCCTCTAAAGACAGCTTTTATTACATCCCATTGCCTCAGGTGTTTTCATTTGCTTGTAGATATTGTTTAATTTCTTCTTTAATTTCCTCTGTGACACACCGATTGCTCAGGTGTGCATTATTAAATTTCTACATGTTTGTTTGTTTTATGCAGGTTCTTATGTCATTCATTTCTAATTCATGGTGCTATGATCTGATAACATGCATTGGATAATTTCAATTTTTTTGCATTTACTTAAGCATAGTCTGTGGACTAGTATATGGTCTATTTTAGAGAAAATCCCATGTGCTTCTGAGAAGAATGTATGTTCTGATGTTGTTGGGTAAAACACTGTGTTCACACACCAACCTCATTTAATCAAAATGTAGTTTACTTCTGTTATTTTTTTGCTGATTATCTATTTAGTTGAGCAGTCTGTTTCTGTCAGTCAGGTGTTAAGGCCTTTGTTATAATTGTGTTGTTGCTAATTTGACTTTTCATTTCTGGAAACATTTGTTTTGTATAGCTTAGTGCTCCTTAATCTTAAATGTCCCGAGATATTTAAGATTTTCTTTTTCTCTTTAGGTTTTCCCCTAACTAGTATGTAGTGACCTTTTTTATCTCTTTGTGTCATTCTTGGTTTGAAGTTCACATTGTCTGAAGACAGAATAGCTACCCCCTGTTTTTATGGTGTATGGGGGATTCCTGTTGCATGAAGTATTGTTTCTATCCTTAGACTTTCATTCTATGACTTTCCTTTCGTATTATACTGGTTTCTTATATACAGCATATGTGTGGATGTTGTTTCTTGATCCATTCTGCAAGTCTGTTTCTTTTAATTGGTGAACTGAGGTCATTTACATTTAAGATATAAGTGTTATTTATTGGTTTATTGTTGATATGTTATCTTTCTGCTGTTACATCTTTATTTTTCAATTCTGTTTAATTGTCGGCATTGCTTATTGTTTTTTTTTTTTTTTTCCTATGTGTATCTAGACTATCTTTCAGTATTCTTTGCGTGGTTGGTTTGGGGATCATGAAGATTTTCAGCTCTTCTTTGTCATGGAAGTGTCTTATTTCTCAGAAATTTTGAAGGGCAGTTTTGCAAGGTACATTAGTGTGGGTTGTAAGTAATTTTCTGTTAGGACCTGAAATGCTTCTCTCTGTGCTCTTTCTGACTTCATTCTTTGTATTGAAAATCTCCTGTCTTCTGACAGGCTTTCTCTTATAGGTGATTTATTTCTTTTCCCTAACAGCTTTTAATATTCTCTTCTTATGTTGCCTTACTGGGATGTTGGCTATTATTATATGTTGCTGTAGTTTTATTTTGGTTATGGCTATTTGTTACTCTACACGTTTAACTTATCTGTATCTCATGTTTATTCTCAGGTTTGGGAAATGTTAAGACATTACTTCTGTAGTTAGTTCTTGACACCAATTGTTTTGTCATGTTTTTTGTTTATAACTATCAATCTTACATTATTTTTCTTTGTATCTTTGTACTAGCTATAATCTTATCTTTAGGCCAAAAAAGCCTATCTTCACTTTGACTGAGGGAGTTTTGTCAACTTTTGATGGAATTTTTGATTTCTTGAATATTATTTTGAATCTATTTCATTCATTTGCTTTGTTTCTTATATTGTTCATTCAAGCTTTCCATCTTTTGGCATTGTTTCTCAAAATTTTTACCTATTTCTTCTTTAGATGTATTCAGTATCTCTTTCATTACATTTATCATTTTTGTTCTTTTGCTCAGAAGGTAATTTCTGACTTGAGTTTTTTCATAGCTCCCCAGGTTGTTTCTTTACTTCAGTTGCTATCATTTCAGGAGTTTCTTGTGTATGTCTTACATTTTCTCCTATATCCATATCTTATAGGCCTGCTTTGTGTGGGCTAGTAGTTTGAGACTAGATTTGGTGCTATTTTTTTTTTGTCATTAACTATATTCCCTTAGTGAAAGTAAAGGCAAGGTCTCAGTCATTTCTTGGGTTGGGAATACCTATCTCTATTAAAAGGAGTTTCCCCAGTTGAGTGGAGATCCTTAGACAGACTTTGCCATGTGGCTTCCTGTCACTTGTGGTCACTGTCTCGAGTCCTCCCAGTCTCAGAGCAGTGCATCAAGGCCTCCTGGTGGGGTGGAAATCACTGCATACCTTTTCAGTTCACAAGCCAATTTACTAAGCTGTAGTCCACTTGGGTATTGCTGGTTATGGCCCAAAAAAAGCCCAGAGGAACATTCTGATGTGTCCTCCAGTGATGTGTGACACTGGACAGGGCCTTACCAGTCTTGGAGTGATATACTACAGCTTTCCTGTGGGATGGAAATCACCGTGCACCCTTTTGGTCATGAAGGAAAATGCAGGCTGCTGTTGACCACTGAAGAGTCACAGGATGGGGCTCAAGTATGCCCACAGAGACCTTTCAGTGTGTCCTCTAGTAATGTAGGACACTGAGCAGAGCCCTACCAGTTCCTCAGCTAGATGCCAAAGCTTTCTCCTGGAGTAGAAATCACTGCATGACTTTTAGACTCACAAGGCTGAATGCAGTTGGCCATAGATCAAGAGCGGTTACTGGATTGGGCCCAATGAGGCCAAGAGGGGCCCTCTGTTGATTCCACCAGTGATTTAGAATACTGTGCAGGGCCAGTCTCAGAACATCACACCAAAGCTTCCTCATTTGATCCGGCCTGCAGATCAACATATCCAGAACTCCTGGAAGGGGAAACGGGGATTAAATAAAAGACATGGGGGAGACAAAAGAGATGAAGGCAAGTTGAGATAATCCAATCAAGCCTTAAGTTTATTCAGAAAATGATCACACCTTTTCTATGCTAAGGGCGGGAGCTGGAACAGGAAGAGGTTAAACAGATGAATAAAACAGGGTCACCGTCACATCCGGTTATGTGACGTAAACAGGAGAGGATTATGGTTAATGTATGCAGACGCAGTGCCCATAGAGAGAGGCATGGAGGCAGCAATGCCTGTCACTCGGCTCCCTACATCTCCTCCCTTTTTATATTATTTAATTAAGAGTATGGCAGGCCCTGTGAGGACAGCATCTGTCTTAGGTCAAGGACCTCATTGCATGAACCACCCAGGCCTTACCTGTCATGGGCTTGCAGAACAGCAGTTGGTCCTGTGCCTGTCTTAGGTGGCCATTGGAATTAACATGCATGTCCTAGTTGCCCTTCTCTGACTGCCTGTCCATTGCCCCAGGGCAGTTAGGCCGCATCATCATATGGGCCACTGTGGGAATTCCTTCCTGGTAGGTTTGTTGATCTGCAATCTCCAGCTGATGATAGTGTACCTGAATGGGCTTTGCCATAAATGTGTCTATCCAGTTATTAATGAACATCAGAATCGTCTGAAAAATACAAGGATTCACAGAAATGAGAAGCAATAGGGCAGCTAGGGGACCCAAAAGGGGCACTAGGTAAGGGAAACCCCCCCCCAAATCAAGGAGAAGGGGTTGACAGCCATTTGTTGGAGTCTCTGTATGAAGTCATTCTCTCCTATGTCTTGGAGCATGCCTTGCATAACACTGGATGCAGTCTATTTGGGTGGTGTATGTTCCTCCAGACTGAGAAGAGCCTCTTCCACAGTCATGGGGTTCTGTGCATGGCTGTCAGCAGTTGTAGTCTGTTTGGCAGGGGTTGAAATTCACCATGGGTGTGGTGTGGCTCAAGAAGGCTGACTAAGCAGCATAAGGCTCCAGGGAGATGTGTCTCCTGTAAGAGAACACAGGGGATTGTGCCTCATGAAATAACATTATTCCTGGGTGTTACATGGGGTCTTTGAAGAACTGTCTACTTGCTTTTACGAGGCATTCAGGTAGCCATCTAGCTTCTCTATCTTGTTGAGAGTAAACACACACTGAACCTCGTCCCCAGATAAGGACTGGGTCAGGGCCATTCCACACATTGGTTAGTGGGTCTCTCCATAAAACAGATGCAAACCGTGTTTGAGTCTGAGTATGCCAAAACCAAGATGCTTCAGAGCAGCCTAAAGCATCCAGGGTCAGAAACTTTAAAATAAAAAGAGCATGTGAAAGGACATTTCTAGGGGACCCCTGGGAGGAGTACCATGTCTCCCTTTATATTTTATTTATGGTGAATTTAAGAGAATGATGTGCACTTTCAACAATGCCTTGTCCCTGAGCATTATAAGGTATACCTGTGGTGTGGAGGATATTAAGGCTCTTACTATATGTGTCAATAATGACATGTACATATTTTACATTGCCAAACTCATTGAAATGGGTAACATCCATTTGCCATAAGGTGTTAGGAATTAAACCTCTAGGGTTGATTCCTAGGTGTTGAACAGGTAAGTGGATAGCACAAGATGGGCAATTTTTTACAATTTGTCTGGCTTGCTCATGGGTAATTTTGTAGAGGAGGAGGAGGGTGTGAGCACTGAGGTGGTGTAGCTGATGGGCTTGTTGGGCCTTAGACACCTTGGAGTCCTGAGCCATAAAAACCTGTGCTCGTACAGCAACTGAAGAACCAGAAATTTAAAGGTTAAAAACAAGATGCTGTTTCTCAGCTAGAAACAGCACTGGGCCTCGTGACTCAGTCCTAACTCAGCCCTGAAGGAAGAAAAAAAAAATCTGTGGCTGTGATGTTCTCGGGATGTGCTGTGCCAGGGAACTCAGAGATAGAGCCTGCCATTACACTAATCAGGGTTGTAAAATATGTCAGACTCGAGCCTACAGAAATCAGGTGTCTTAAAGACAAGTTGTGCAGAACAAAGATAGTTAATTATCTCTGACCCGCTGGTCACCCCTTATTAACTGACCAATAGCAGATAGATAAGATGCCCACCGCTCCGCACTAACTGTAATGATTGGCTTCTGTAATAAACACTTACATTGCAGTTTTTCCCCCTTAAAAACATCAGCCTTGCCCCAACTCAGGGTTCTCTGTTTCCACCTGTTTGGAGGACCTGTGTACACGGAATAATAAAAACCCCTTTGTTCTTACATGAGAGTGAGGCCCATGTACTCTTCCTTGTGACACCGGTCTTACATTTTGGAGGCCCCAGGGAGATCAGCCCTCCTCGCAGAGGGAGACCCCAACGGCACCTCCCTGCGATAAGTAGTACTGCCGGTTTTTGTTTACTTTCATTTTGATCGATCGCTTATTTTCTCCCCTTTCTTTACTGCCCTGAACAATTTGTTTTCTTTGGTTCTGATTTCAAAGGCAGTTTGTTTCTCTTGGGGGACGCCCCAAGGTTCCCCTGAGGAACGTTCATTGGTGGCTCACCGGTTCGCATAGGCAGGTCTCTCCTGCTGAGTTGGGCAGGTCGCTCCTGCCGTTAGTTGTAGCCATTACACGGCTATGTTCACGTAGGCAGGTCGCTCCTGCTGAGTTGGGCAGGTTGCTCCTGCCGTTAGTTGTAGCCATTACATGGCTATGTTCGCTGTGGAATACTCTGCCGGTTCGTTTCCACCTGGTGGTTTTGGTATGTGTGTGCGTGATTCCGGCTTGTGAGTTGTGTTCTGAAATGTAAACATTTTGTGTTTGCCTGTGTCTTCCCTGTTCATTGTTATTATTCTCTTTTTCTCCAGGATAAGATGGGACAGACAACTTCATCTCCTCTCTCCCTTACCTTGGACCATTGGCCTGAGATTTGAGAGCAAGCTCACAATCTTTCTCTCCAGGTTAAAAAGGACATGATTAATGATGGTACAGCTGAGGGAAAAATGCCCTCCCTACGGTATTGGCCATTCTCCTCCTTGGTTGCCTGTTTAAATTTGTTACTAACTTAGGGGCTTGTTGCCCATTTCTGTTGCAGGATCCATATGGCTTACTAGATTCAAGGTTCATGATAAGAAAAATTATTTCCTTTAGCTCACCAAACTGTTCAAGAAACAACCTTTGTTTGTGTCTTTAATGTTGTGGCGCCTTGTTTAATATGTAAGTCTTCAACTGATTGCTTGCAACCTTGGCATGCCTTTTAAAAGGAGTATTTTTCTTTCTGGTTAAAAAGTAGACGTATGTGCACATATATGTGTATATTTATGGTTTTTAAAAATCATATCAGCTTTACCAAGTGAAAACCAGGTCATACTGTAATTGAGCCAGTTAAAAGTTTATAGTTTTTAAAAACAATAACAAAAACAAACAAAAAAAAACCCCAGCATTTAATGTGGTAAAAATGCATAAAATAGTTAAATATGATTTAGACTACTAGAAGGTGACTTCAAGGGTTTTGTTGTGAGTTTTAATGTTGTCTGAGAAGTGAGAGAAAAGGTAATTGACTGGTGATAGTAAAAAGGAGGGACAAAGAAAGTGGTTTGTCTTCAAGTAAAAATGTCTGGATGTGCCAGAATATGAAATAAGATAAAACTTGGAGGTATATTGTAAGTTACCGAAAGCTCGAGATGATGTAAATTTTATTTGTCTTGGTTATAGTAATGAAAACAGCAGGTTTGACAAGAAGTAAATGTGTTCAAAATTTGACAGTATTAGATCAGTTTTGGTAGATTTATTTATAAGGTTCTCAACCTTTGCTGCAAAGTGTTTCCATTAATATGAGATTAAAGATGATAATAGAGTTAAGATATAAGTTCTCACATGTGCTGTGAACATCTGGGAGATTATATGGCACATTTTGTTACCTATGAAAAAGCTTCTTTTTCTTAAGTATGTAATTTCAGTAAAATGATGGCCTGCCACGTGGCACCCTAGGACAAAAGGTGATGTGCCATCCAGAAAAAGCCTGCTCTCTGATCCGGAATGCCAAAACCATGTTTTCCCTTTGTCCCACCCCGATTGGACATCCAGCGGTAAGGGGGTTTCCCCAGCATCACCAGTTGTTCTCTTTGCAACTCAGTCAGCCCCACATGTTAGAAAAAAGATTACAAAGGTTTGAGAATTTTTGAGAAAATGCCCCTCAGCCAGTTGATAGAGATAACACAAGAGATCTTTTAAAATTTAGGAAGAAAAAACACCCTGAGATAGTGCTCCTCCAGTTCGTGAATGACTTGTTAATAGCCTCGATCCCCCCCCCCCCAAAAGCTTGTAAGCTTATTGAGAGGCAACTGAGAAACTGTTAAGGACTTTGGGGCAATTAGGCTATAAAGTCTCAGCTAAAAAGGCCTGATCGTGCTGTCAGGCTGTGGCTTATCTGGGCTACAAAGTGCAAAAAAAAAAAAACGGGGGGGGGGGAGGACTTTGTCTAAAAAGGAGCCCAGGCTATATTGCAGATCCCATTCCCAGAAACTAAGAAACAGGTGCGCGAATTTCTGGAAGCTGTCGGATACTCCAGGCTGTGGATTCTAAATTTTACTGAAACAGCTCACCCTCTATATGGCTCCCTTAAGGGAAAAACTCACTAAACTGGACTTATAAATGTAAATGGATCTTGCAGCAGCTCAAGTGGGCCTTAACAGAGGCCCCAGCCCTGGGACTCCCTGATGTTACCAAGCCATTCACTTTGTTCATAGATAAACTCAGGGGCATTGCCAAAGGAGTCCTAACCCAGGACATTGGCTCTTGAAAGAGGCCTATATCCTATCTTTCCAAAAGGCTCAATCCAGTAACAAGAGGGTGGCCTCCATGCCTAAAAATTCTGGCTGCTGTGACAATGCTACTTAAAAGAGGCTAAGAAACAGAAAATTTCTGTAGTGACCTCTCACAGTTTAGAGACTGTTATCAAAACCCCTCCCAAAAATGTAAATGCTAAAATCTCACACTATTAGGCCCTGCTCCTAGACCCAGAATTGGTAGTTTTCAAGACTTCTTCAGCTTTAAACCCGGCCACCCTTATGCCTGACAACGACCTGAGAAATTTCACAGATGGAAGCAGCTTCATCCAGAATGGCAGAGGCAGATGAGTGGCCGGGGCAGCAGTGACCACCAAAAGGAGGTACTCTGGGTTAAGCGGTTAGAGCCTGGCATCTCTGACCATCAGGCAGAGCTCAATGCTTTGACTGAGGTACTAAAACTAGCCACGGGAAAGAGGGTAAACATCTATACTGATAGTAGATATGCTTTTGCTACTATACATATACATAGAGCCATCTATTAAGAGCGAGGTCTCTTAACCTCGGCCAGAGCTAAGATTAAAAAAAAAAAAAAAAAAAAAAAAAAAAAAAAAAAAAGAGGGCTCCACAGATCCTAGATTTGCTGGAAGCAGTTTGGCTGTCAGCAGATTGCTTCTATTCACCTGAGGAAACAATTTGGCAGATCAGGCTGCTCAAAGAGTAGCAATCACATCAGAGAGGCCAGCCGAGAAAGTAACTGCTCTGATGCGAGTTCCCCCAAACTTATCAGAACCAGTCTACATAAAAAAAGACTACACTGGTTGTTGTGAGCCATCTAACAGATTCCAGTCCCTGTGACTAAAAGACAAGTACAAAATTTCTAGGAGCCACAGGACTGATCCAGAGTTTGGGACCCTGGCAGAGGCCTGTTGCCTACCTTTCCAAGAGACTTGGTTCTGTGGCAGCCAGATGGCCACGCTGTATGCAGTGATTTCCTCAATGGCCCCCTCATAAAGGAGGCTTAAAATTGACTTTTGGACACAAACTCTTAATTGTTTCCTCCTATTCACTGGAGACTCTCATCAATGCCCCACCAGACTGATGGATGTCTAATTCCTGAGCCATACATTATCAGGCACTATATCTGAAAACAGCATATTCAAACACGGCTACTTTGCTGCCTGAGGACGACCCCTCCATGCCTCTCCACAATTGCACTGAGGTCATTGATCACCTCACAGGACGTCAACCTTATCTAGTGGATAAGCTACTGTCTAGAGTTTCATCCTACTTCTCTGATGAAAGCAGTTACGTCTATCAAGGTAAGCGGGTCGTGGGAGCTGCCGTTACACAAAATCTTAGGTTCTATGGGAACAAATCTTAGAGCCAGAGACATCAGCATAGTGGGCTAAACTCATTGCGTACACAGAGTCCTCAAGTTGTCTTTATCAAAAATGGTGTTTATTGTCTTCTGGAGTCAAAAGATTAAAGTTGCTCCCTAAATTTGGACTTGTTGGCTGCCATCTAGATGCCAAGGAGAGTGGCTACTATCTGCTGTATAAGCCATTGGGCAGAAGATGATCTTGTTATAGGAGAAAACAATTTGGCAAATGCCACCTTCCAAAAGACAGCCAGAAAGCCCCCAAATCAGTGGGAATTGAGATAAGCTTGACATTACTGCTGATCCCACCTATTTTCTTTGTCAGAGCCCATTTGCACTTAAAAAGACCAGCATCTGGCAGCTCAACTTCCGAGAGATTCCCGGGGGCTAATATCAAGCTAGCCCAGTCTGTGAGCTTCAGATGCCCTCAGTGCCAATTGGTAAATCCAAAAGTACTGCAACAAATAGAAACCACTGGTTATTGTGGGACTATGCCTAAAAACACTGGAAAATAGATTTTACAAAAATAAAAAGCCTAAACTTCAAGGATATAAATGTTATAATGGTTGATACTTTCACTAGATGAGTAAAAGCATTTTCTACTTAGTCTGAGTCAGCTCTGATAACAGTTTCCCTGATTTGGTCTCCCTTTTTATCCATGGGGTCCGACAATGGCCTGGCTTTTATAGCCTAGTAACTCAAATTAACCTAAGCTTTGCAGATCAATTAAAAAACTCGATTGGGCTTACCAGCCTCTGAGTTCAGGAAAGGTAAAAAGATAAGTCAGATTTTAAAGACCATAATTACTAATGGCCTTAAAAACTGACGAATACTGGGTGAGTCTCTTTTCCTTCTGCCCCTTTGTGTGTGTGTTGCAGATATTTCCTCTTTTGAGGTTTTATGTGAAAAGGTTTCTAGAAATTTGCTGATTTAACTAATCAAGATCTTATTATGTCTCCCCCAGACTTTTCAGCTAGCTGTGACTTCCATCCACTGGTTATTTTGCTGCTGCCCACTGCGAGCTAAAGAGCCTAGTCACCTGGACAAGCAACCTCTCCGTGAATCTCCTGAGCCAAAATGGACTGTCAAAGTAGCTGAAAGCCTTCCTGGATTCAACGTTCCCACTGCAAACAGGTCCCAGCTTCAAAAGACCATCAGCCTGCGGATAAGTGAACTGTCATTTCTTCTAAGGACACTTTAAAGCTTAAGATTGTCTAATATAACTGATAATTTTGTGTTCTCCTCCTATGTAGAGACCCCAAGGAGGCCTCTGTCTGACTTAAAAATTGTTAATTGTATGATAAAACAGAGTAAATTTAAATGTTGGTTTTCTTTTTCCTTTTCGTTAACAGCTTTAATGACAGCTGCAAGACCTTTGTCAATCCTCCTACTGGGCCTTATGTTGTAAACAGGTAGATAAACTATGTCAAAGTTCTTAAAAGCTTATGATTTTAAAAACACATGCAAGGTTATAAACAGATGCTAATGAGTCAATCAATGGGAAATGCTGTACTCTAAGAAAATAGCTTCATTATATGTGTATTATAACAAACCTGTAAAGTGGCTTACTAAATGTTTTTTTTATCCTTTTTCCCTAACTGATATGTTAAGTGACCTAATTGATATGTTG